CCTTTTTCTTTAATCTCTTTAGAGTTCAGATCTAGTAGTGGTATTGCTGGATCAAAGGGTGTGCCCTTTGGGCATAATTCTAGATTGCTCTCCAGAATAGTTGGATCACTTCACAACTCCACCAACGGTGTATGTGTCCCTATTTTTCTACATCCCCTCCAATGTTTGTCATTTTCCTTTTCTGTCATATTAGCTAATCGTGGTACCTCAGAGTTGTTTTAATTTGCATTTCTCTAATCAGTAGTGATTTAAAGCACTTTTTAATTTGGCTATAGATAGCTTTGATTTCTTCATCTGAAAACTGCTTTTTCATATCCTTTGACCATTTGTCAATTGGGGAATGACTTGTATTCTTATAAATTTGACTCAGTTCCCTGTGTATTTAAGAAATAAGGCCCTTATCAGAAAAACTTGCTGTAAAAATTTTTCAGTTATGATTACTGTGTATTTCCCTCCACCTCTGTTTTTCCTCTTGTTTATCCTACTTGTTTTCTCTCCTTTCACCCTGTCCATTCTCAAAAGCATTTTGCTTCTGACTACCATTTCCCCCAATCCACCCTCCCTTCTGTCAGCCCTCCCCAATCTCTTTTCCCTCCTACTTTCCTGTAGTGTAAGATAGATTTCTTTACCCAACTGAATCCCTCTTTGAGCCAGTTCCAATGAGAATAAGGTTCAAATGCTCCCCTCACTTCTTCCATCTTCCCCTCCACTGTAAAAGCTCTTTTGTGCTGCTTTTATGTGAGATAATTTATCCATTTTACCTCTCCCTCCCCCCTTCTTCCAGTGCATTCCTCTTTCTCACCTCTTAATTTTATTTTTTTAGATATCATCCCATCACATTCAACTCACACCTGTTTCTTCTGTCTATGTACACTCTTTCTCACTTCCTAATGAGAAAATTCTTAGGAATAGTTAGAAGTATCATCTTCCCATGTAGGAATATAAGTAGTTTAACCTTTGTTGTTCAATCATTTTTCAGTCATTCTAACTCTTCATGACCCTATTAGGCAGGGATACTGGAGTGGTTTGCCATTTCCTTCTCCACATTTGACCGATGAGGAAACTCAAGCAAACAGGGTTAAATGGCTTGCCAGAGTCACACAGCTACTTAGGGTCTGAGGCTGGATTTGAACCCAGCTCTTTCTGACTCCCAGACTGGCACTCTGTCCGCTGGGCCACCTAGCTGCTTATTAAATCCCTTATGATATCTCTTTCCTGTTTACCTTCTTATGCTTCTCTTGACTCTTGTATTTGAAAGTCAGATTTTCTATTCAGCTCTGGTCTTTTCATCAGGAATACTTGAAAGTCTTCTATTTCATAGAATATAATTTTCCCCTCTGAAAGATTATACTCAGTTTTGCTGGGAAAGTGATGCTTAGTTGTTGTAATCCTAGCTCCTTTGCCCTCCAGAATATCATATTCTAAGCCCTCCGATCCTTTAGTGTAGAAATCTTATGTTAGCCTATGGCTCCATGAGTTATCCTGATTGTGTTTCCATGATTCTTGAATTAGTTCTTTTTGACTGCTTGCAATATTTTTTCCTTAACCTGGGAGCTCTGGAATTTGTGTATAATACTCCTGGGAGTTTTGTTTTTTGGGATCTCTTTCTGGAGATGATTGGTGGATTCTTTTCATTTGTATTTTACCCTCTGGTTCTAGAATATCAGGGAAGTTTTCCTTGATAATTTCTTAAAACATGATTTCTAGACTCTTTTTTTTTTTTTTTTAAATCATGACTTCCAGGTAGTCCAGTAATTCCTAATGTATCTCTCTTCCATCTGTTTTCCAGGTCATTTGTTTCTCCAGTGAGATATTCCGTGTTTTCTTCAATTTTTTTCTCCTTTTGATTTTGTTTGATTGTTTTTTGATGTCTCATGGAGTCATTAGCTTTTACTTGTCCAATTCTGATTTTTAAGGAATTACTTTCTTCAGTGAACTTTTGTACTTCGTTTTCCTTTTGGCCAATTCTCCTTTTTAAGGAGTTTTCTTAAGTGAATTTTTGTACCTCTTTTTCCATGTGGCCAATTCTATTTTATAAAGAGCTTTTCTCTTTAGTAAATTTTTGTGTATCTTTTTTACCATTCGACCTATTCTGGTTTGGTTTTTTGGGGGGGGATCTTTTTTTTTGACTAGACAATGGGGTTAAGTGACTTGCCCAGGGTCGTGCAGCCTATTCTGTTTTTTAAGGTGTTAATTTCTTCAGTATGTTTTTTTTTTTGTGCCTCCTTTACCAAGCTGTTGACTCTTCTTTCATTATTTTCTTGTATCACTCTCATTTCTTTCCCCAATTTTTGCTCTGCCTCTCATTTGGTTTTTTTAACCCTTTTTGAGCTCTTCCAGGAATTCTTTTTAAGGAGTGAGGGGAGAAACCTGAGACCAATTCACATTTTTCTTTGAGGCTTTGCATGTAGCTGTTTTGACTTTGTTGTCTTCTTGAGTTTGTGTTTTGAACTTCCCTGTTACCACACTAACTTGCTATGGTCAGGTTCTTTTTTTTGTTGTTTGCGCATTTTTCCAGCCTATTTCTTGACCTTTAACTTTATGTTAAAGTTGGGCTGTGCTCCTGGGGTGGAGGAAGCACTGTTCCCAAGCTTCAGATATTTTGTGCAACTGTATTCAGAGCTAGTTCTGGGTGTCTGTAAGTTTTCTGTTCTTCCAAAGTGGCATGATCTAAGGAGAGATGTGGTTATTACTTTCTTGGCTTGTGCTCTGGACTGTGAGTGACCACAAGCACCCTTTTCCTCTCTGGAACTGTGACTAGGATCCCCTCTCCCCTGAAGCCACAAGCTCTGGTGTGCTGGTGCTCCTCCTAGTCCTAGCACTGCATCTCAGATCCAAGTTTGGGCAGCGTAACAGAGCCCTGTACCCGGTGCCAGCAAAGGGTCCCCATCTGACCAGTTGTCTGACCACTTTACCATCTCTGGGCGTAGAGCTCCAGAAGTTAACCGATTCAGTCACCTCTAAGGCCTGCTGCTGGTTTGCTGGTACAACCAGCACTGGAGTGCACTCCACCCTTACCCCAGTGCAGCAGACATTTCCTGCTGACCTTCTATGTTGTCTTAGACTGGAAAATTGCTTCACCCCATCCTTTTATGAGTTCTGCTGCTCCAAAATTTGTTTTGAAGCATTATTTTAGTTATTTGGAGGGGAATTTGGGGGATCCCAGGCAAGTCCCTCCTTTCCCCTCCATTCTGGCTCTGCCCCCATTGTTTATAATATCTTTATGCAGAGGCTGGACTGGTTACCTTAAATAGTAAAAATATCAAGCAAATCAGTGTATAAGCTACTGGGTTTCACTGGATCCCACAGCCAGACTTGACGTCTAATTCCAGGCAACAGTACTGAAAGTTCCGTCAACCTGATGGATAAGAATTTATGTGTGGATCATCATAAACTATGGAAAACCAAATGAAAATCAGGGATGCCTAATAATGAATTTAACTTCCATCTTGTGGGTCTTTTTTGAAAGATTGCATAGTTCATATCATGAGGTACCATAATTTTATGCCTCTGATGTTACTTGTAATGGCATCTTGAACCTATTTGCTCTCCTTACTCATGGTATACTCCTTATTTTCCCAAACCAGAAGTTGAGTCAAGAGTCTATGAGAGAATGTTGATGTTGTAATTTTTTTTCTAGTTTTCTCTATATTTATAATTTTATCTCTCACATTTTAATAGGGATTTTCATTGGAGTTATACTTTTTCAAGATCTTTTGTATATGTTCTCTTAATCTTCATAGCAATCTTGTAAAGACAGGTTGATTATTATTAAGACAAGAATAATTATTTCCATTTTCAGTATATCTCTTTACCAATTTTTTCTCCCATTTCTTTTCCTGGGTTCCTGAACGCATGTTCAGACAGTACCTCTGACCATAATGCCTTCTCTCCCTGTGGAAATTCGGCTTCAAAGTTGAGCTGATGTTCAACCTTTCATGAAGCCTTCCCTAGTCACTCCAGCCTACATAGATCTCTTACTCCTCAGGATTCCATCCTAGTTAGTACTTAGCTTACACCAGAACTCACTTATGTGGCATTTAACCTGAACTTGTTAAATGAAGCCCATAGCTTCATATGGCATAACTGAGTCAGGAGGTGTTAAGGGCAGATTAACTGGCCCATGACCGTGTATGTACTTCATCACAGAGGAAGAAATATATCTATCCCACTTCCATAAAAGGCTGAAGCTTCAGGGAGATTGTTTGAGTCAAATAAATAGTTAAACAATACTCACTGTATCTTGCCACTTGATCTGATAGTGACTTCACCCTTGAATTTCTATTTCTATATCTGGCTTCCTGCTTCCTTATAAATCCCTTGGATTTAGGTGACATTGAACTTCATCCTGGGCTATTCATTGGTCTATGCTCTCTTGAACCCTTATTCAGACCTCTCTACTCCTCTCTTTCCTCAAGTGGGAATTGCCCTAATTTGGGTGGGATAGCTCTCCCTCCACCTAGATAATAGGAGCTCCATAAATAATTATTGTGAATTTTGTAGAGAACAACTAATTGGGGAAACAGCACGTCTACTCAGGAAGCAGTTGAGTACACTACAAGACGATGTGACTAAGTGTTATATCTTGGGGGCAGATGTGATATTTCAAAGGAAAGAAAGATCCTGATGGACTGAGGGTTTCTTGCGGAGGGGGGGGGGGGGAGGATCATTTAAAGGAAGAGATACAGGATGTGAGGTAGACCATGAAAGATGGCGATAGGATTTGAACTAGAGAAGGAGAATGAGTATAGCTTGGGGGAAAGGGGTTAGTGAGAGCCTCAGCCAAAAGGGAAGAAATGGGATTAGGGCAGTGCAAAAATATAAATTTTGTTAGTATGAAACTTAGAATCAGCACCTGGCAAGATAATAATTTATATTAATACTGATCTTCATTAATGGAGAAAAAAAATGTATTAGCTTTGCTGAATTACTAACAAAATGAGGAGAGACTTAGGATAAGATGTTAAATATGTAACTCAATTACGTAAAATCTCTTTCAGCAACTTCATGAATCGGTGAAGAGGAATCGGGATAGTGCTGGCTCCCCTCAGAATGGAGATCAACAGAATGGCTATGGAGAAATGTTTTCTGTGCACAAGAAACCACGCCATGAAGATACTCTTGGGGTTAGCGTCTCTTCTAATGGGATGCCTCCATTGTCCCCGATGCATCAGCTTGACAAGTCATCTGGAGGAGATGCCTTGCAGCCCAATGGAAAACATTCACTGGGACTAGATGCCATCAACAAAAAATGTCTCCCAGATCCTAACCTACATTCTAATGGCAGCAGTAATGCAAATGATTCATTTCAAATAAGTTTGAATAAAGAACTGAAACAAGAGCCCGTAGATGACCTTCCTTGTATGATCTCTGGAACAGGCGGTTCTATGTCTCAAAACAACTTAATGCCTGACCTAAACCTTAATGAGCAGGAGTGGAAGGAGCTCATTGATGAACTTAATAGATCAGTGCCTGATGAAGACATGAAGGATCTATTTAATGAAGATTTTGAGGAGAAAAAGGATACGGAGACTTCAAGTTCAACTACACAAACCCCATTGCCACAAGACATCAATATTAAGACTGAATTTTCGCCAGCAACCTTTGAGCAGGAACAGTTAGGATCTCCACAAGTAAGATCCACGTCTTCAGGGCAGACCTTTATTGGGTCATCGTCTGTAGCTGTGAGTACGGCCTCTCCAGTTATAGGTGGCTCTCAGACTGGGTTCCAGGCTTCTGGTCAGCCAGGGGCTGAAAATCCCAACCAGACCATGATGCAGGCATCAAACCAGTCTCAGAATGTACAGAGGCCTCTAGCCAACGTATTATTATCTGGTCAGGGCTCTGGAGGGAGCAAAGAAATGTCCTCCGCCCACCAGCTTCAACAGATAGCTGCCAAGCAAAAGAGAGATCAAATGCTTCAAAACCAACAGCAAACTCAACAAGTTCACCAGCCTGGGCAGATGACCAGCTGGCCACCGTCTGGTCCTTCTCATAGTCCATTAGCTGTCCCCTACTCTGTGGAGAACCCAACTAGCCCTTCTGTTTACCAGCAAGATTTCAACAACCAGAAACTCATGATGTCTAGCATGACCAATAAGAGTTCTCCTAGAACTGGAGGTAATTACCTCCCGCCTAGCCACGTAGGCCTGCTGACTCACCAGCCAAACACCTTGAACCAGAACTCTGTGGCTGGCCAAGCAGCTATGCTTGATTATGGCAATACCAAACCTCTTTCCCATTACAAAGCTGATTGTGGACAAGTATCTGGCCAGAATAAAGCACCCATGTTAGCTTATCTGCCACAGCAGCTGCCTCATATGAATGAAGAGCAGAACACATTGTATATGTTGAAGAAGCCTGGAAATATTCCCTACAGACCACTGGTTCCCCATAGCCAGGTAAACAGATTGGGATTGTGCTTCCTCCGTAGTAGGATCGACTGTGAAAGTGAATAGTGGGAAAGGGAGGGCTTCCCAGGAAGCTGGGCAGAAAAGGAAGGGAGCAGCCGCTGCTAGTTTGTTAAATACAGAAAGTGTGTCCGAGTTGAGGAATATCCAACCTATGATTAATTAGGGAGTGATGCCCTAACTTTTAAAAATGCAGCTTCCTAGTATATTTAAAATATGATTAAGCTTGCCCAAGATGGCCATGCCCATTTCAGAAACATAACTGTTGTGTCATGTCATTGGTGTTTCACACGCTGTGTGGTTTCAGCTTCAGTAATGTGGCTCTTGCTAACTTGCCTTCTTCATTGCTTCAGTCTATCCGAGTGTTTCTGTATCTCTGGGCAGACAATCCCTGATTTTTTAGTAAACAAACAATTTCACCTTTTCACTACCTGAGGAGCCTTCCTTAGGCACACGTGAAATGTGCTTGTTTGTACCATCCCTGCCTGTCCTAGTTTAGCAGGCCCTGTGGCCTAGGGAAGAGAGAAGCAAGCATAATGGAATGTTCACATTCATTTTTAACTGACTTATGTATTATTTACCTTTCTATTCACTGGTTTTAAATTTTAAATTCTCTTTTTCTAGTATACCTTAACCTAAGCATAAGATTCTAAGAAACAAAGAATGTAATATTATTCAACATATAGACACTCTTCATGGAGTATTTTGTACGAAAATAAAATTAATATAATAGTTAGGTTAATGAAATTAATAGCCTGGACTCATTTGGACAATTGAAGCTCAATGGAGAGAGCTCTGGGCTGAGATTCTAGGCAGGAAGCCCCACGTTCAAATCTATCCTGAGATACTACTCTGGGTGAGTCACTTACCCTGTCTTTGCTTCAGTTTCCCTAACAATAAAATGAGAATAATAACAGCATCTCCCTAGCAGTGTCATAAGGATTGAGGATCAAATGAGATAATATTTGTAAAAAGCATTTAGTATAGTGCCTAGCACATAGTAGGCACTGCGTAAATGCCGGTTCCTTTCCCCTTCTCCCTTAAAAAGCAAACAGACTAGGATAGTTGACATTTTAAAAGTTGAACTTCCCCATTAGACCTCACCTGCCACATTGTTTTGCATCTCTCAGGTGCATTTCTCACTAATTTGTAAACCTTATGAATGCAGGGACTGTATCGTATCCAAACCTTCTATCTCCACAGTGTTCTATACATAGTAGGCATTTAATAGATGTCTTTTGAATGAAGGCTTTTTGTAGTTTGTTCTAGTTATTTGTGGAACCCTGTTCATCTTGAATCAAGGATTTGTTTTGTTTTTGTTTTTGTTTTTAACAAATCCATTAACTTGGGTCCTGCTTTCATGACTGTTAGGAAAGTAAATTATTCTCTCACACCACAGGTATGTTTCTTAGCTTTATTTTTTTAAAAGCCTAATCATCTGAGTCTAATGAATAGAATCTGATCTGAGATTAAACCCAACAGAGATTACTTCAGATTAATCCATGGATTTGGGGTTACTTCAGAAGTTTTTGTTGTGTTTTTAATAGCAAAGCCGCACTGATAAAAACTAAGATGAAAACCAGGGTCTGTACAAAACTTCTAAATGGTAGCTTAAAAGCTAGAATTTTTCTGGTCGCCTTCAGCATTCATTTCATTTGTAGTTCAAGATGTTACAGGAAATTCCCATTAAATAATCCATGCAAATCCACTACCAAAGTGGCACTTTTATTGACTTACTTATGGTCAGCCTATTGAAAACTTTGTGTGTAGTATCTGCTACATAGAAGTGTCAGATGTACAGACAAATGCTTAATAACTTTGTTTTTAGAAAGCAGCCTTTAAGATCAATCATTCTGTAACTTGGGAACCAAGCCTTCCTTCACAGTCCCAAGGGTGCTTGTGTTTGATTGAAGGTCATCTGTTTTGAACAGAAGTTCTTGATTCTGTAGTATCCCTGACTAACTTGTAAGCGACATCTGTTTGGCAGGACCAGAACCCGTCTAATGTTCCTCGCGTCCCAGTATCTGTGCCAGCATCGAGTGTTGGCACCCAGCCACCAGCTGTATCCCTGGCAAGCTCCCACGGCACGGCTGCCTATCTCAGCACCCAACAACAGGCAGCGGCAATGAAGCAGCACCAGCTGTTGCTCGACCAGCAGAAGCAGAGGGAACAGCAGCAGAAGCAGCTGCAGCAGCAGCAGCAGCAGCATTTCCTGATAGGGCAGAGACAGCAGCAGCTTCTGGCTGAGCAGGTGAGTCAGAGGGACTGCACTAGAACTCTCTGATTGAGGTCCCCCAGATTCACTTATGTTCATCGTTCTCCGTGTGTCCGGTGGACTCGGGCAGCTCTGTATGTCTGAGATCACTGCGTTTTCTATTTAAAGCTGCCGGAGTCAAATCTGTCATTTCCTTAACTGAATTTCCTGCCCTTATTCTCTAGGCCCATCACGTGGACTCTTTATGGAATGAGTGGCTTGTATTGTGTTATACACAACCAACCACTTGTGCAGGGGATTTTTTGTAGGTCTTTTACAGTTTTGTAAGTCCCAGACACTCTGAATGGAGTAAAAATTGGGCACTTGAACCTGAGGGTCGGTGTCCTCCCAACCCCACTGTCTTGATGGTCCCTGTGGTCACCCACTACTCTCAGGCTGTGTAAATGGGCATTTTTCAAGGGTCCTTGTATATCACTAAGATATTTCAGTGGAACTAAGTGTCCTTGTTTTAGAAGAGTTCGACTTTTCTAATTATTCAGTCAAAAAGCATTTGTTAGTAGCACTGTGCTAGGGGGGAAAGTACAAAAAATGAAACAGTCCTTAGGTGGGGAGCCAGAAGTACATATCACAAATGCAAAGTGAATAAATAGAAACATATGCCAGGTAATTAAATACAAGGTAGTTTGAGAGGGAGGGCACTAGCAGTTGGGCAGGATCAGGAAAGGTTTTACGTAGAAAGAAGATAGTATTCGAGCTGTGTCTTAAGGGGAGAGAGGGACCTTATGAGGAGAAAGGAATGAGAGAGTGAATCCCAAGGATGAAGGGGGGCCATTGCAAAGAGACAAGAGATAGAGGGTTGAGTGTAAGGAACAGAGAGAAGGCCAGTTGGACTGAACCAAAGAGTTCTGAATGTCTGATGATATCTGATGAGGCAAGAAAGATAGTTTGGGATCGGGCTGTAGAGAACTTTAAAAGCTAAACGAAGGAGTTTATGTTTTAACCCAGAAGCAATAGGTAGTCTATGGGATTGATTAAATACCATTATCACATAATCCTGTAGCAGTGATTTAGGAACCTATGCGTACTGCAGCAATTCCCAACTTGGGTTTTCCAAAGTTTTAACTGGTATATGCACTGCTGCCTGGCCTGTGGCTTTCTGCTGCCCAAATATGCCTTCCATTCCACTTTTAAAAGGAAGTTACTGCCTACAGCCAACATAAAAGTGAAGGGAATAGATCTTTGTCATATCACCAAAGTGGCCCAGAGCTTCTAGTCTGGAAGAACCCAGGGTTGTTCAATTTTTGCTTGTTTTTTCCCTGACTGATTCTGTTCATTGTTGTTTTTCTAGGAGAAGCAGCGTCAGGAACAGCAGTTTCAAAGACACCTGACCCGGCCACCACCTCAGTACCAAGAGCAAAACCAGACTACGTACCAGCAGGTTGGACAATTTACAGGTAAAAAGAGACTTAATATTGTTAACAAAAACATGTTGTGTGATGGGTATAGTAGAAGCTAGAATTCTCTGGATAGGTTCATTTCTTCATAAGATCATAAATCTAGAGCTGGCAGAAACCTCAAAAGGCTATATTTACAGATGAGGAAATTGAGGCCCATGGATGTTAAGTAACACCTGACCAAAATCACATAGATAGTAAGCATCAGATGTGGAATTTGCACCCAGATTCCAGGTTGTATCATGATACAGTGGAAAGAGCACTGACCAGAGCTCCTTGGTCCAAATCTCACCATTGATACTCACGATTTATATGACCCTGAGTAAATTACTTAATCTCTGTAAGCCTCAGTTTCCTCATCTGTAAAATGAGACAGTTGGACTAGATGACTTCTGAGGTACATTCTGGCTCTCGCCCTATAATCTTGGGGTCCTCTGATGCCAGAGCCAGCACTTTTCCCTCTATTGAGACTTTTGTGGATTTCCTAGGGCACCACTCTGATCATTTCACGTTACAGAAAAAGCTTTCAGCGGCTCCCCAGTGCTGACTAGACAGAGTATAGACTTCTTGGCATGCAGGGTCATCCACAGTCTGGCTCCAGCCTGTCTTTCTAAGCTTGTTTTATGCTATTCCTTTACATTTACTCATTCTAAACAACACAGCCTTCCCAACATGCTGCGTTCTCCTCCTGCTCTCCCTGCTTTGCATACGCCTGGAAAACAATGTCTACCTTCCCCGTACCTTTATTTTCCATTTTCTAAAGTCCCTCCCTTCCTCCCTTCAAGGTTCTATTCATGTCCCATCTCTGTAAAGCCTTCCCTGATAAGCACGCCCTATGAAAGTCATGGCCTCATCTCATATTCTTCATTCTACTTTTCTTGTCCTTTCCTTACTGTTTATTTTACTTTCCCTATCTTAGTGCAATACTTGTTTTTATTGGATTATAATCTCCTTGAGAAAAGAACCTGTGTTGTGTCTTTGTAACTCTAGTACCTTGCGTGTAGTAGTTACTTAATAAATGTTAATTATTATTGAATTTCTAATCCCTAACAATATTGCCTATATAAAGTTTATAATTCCAGAAATTGTGCTTTCAATGTAACTAGTATTTTAAGGAGGCTACTATAATAAAAACAAGCGGGGGAGGGAGGGGAAATATATATATCTGTACACATACACACACACATATACTTTTTTTTAAATTTCTGGGCCTTTTCTATGAACCCTTTCTTGCTGGAGTATAGTACCTTCCTGGTAGCCAGAATATAGCTCTGGGCCTGAGGAACTTGCTTCTACAACTACGTGCTAATAACTGGTTCTGTTTCTGTTACCAAGATAAGAAGAGACTTAGGAAAGTTTGTTCCCCAACATATTTTACTTCACATCCTTTCTCTCTGTTTAGTCATCCTTGAAAAGGCAGCTTCTTACGTGAAAAATGTTGTTAATAATGAAATTGTTGACAGGCAAGTGGAAGGTAGAATTTCTCTAGTCTTAATTGTTATTTAATTGTTGGTGTTCCTCACACACTACATTCCCTCTCCTCCCTCTTTGCACAGGCTGTCCCCGTGCCTGGGACATCCCTCCTTCCTACATCCGGCCTCTTAGAATAGAGCTTTCCTCAAAGCTTAGCTCACACTCCATGTGCTTTATGAAGTCTTTCCTGATCTGACCTCCTCCAGCTGCTGATGCCACTCCCTGAAAATTATACTAAATTTACTTTTTATATACTTATGTACATGTAGAATGTGTCGCCCTGTGGAATGTAAGCTCCTTGAAGGCAGGGATGTATCCCTCAGTAGCTAGCAGTGTCTGGCACCTAGCAGAGTTGGTAATTATTTGTTGACCATTTGATGGCTTCTCATCTCAACAGAGGTGTGATTTACATTGTCAATAGTGAACTTGTTCAGCTTTACAATATGGATAGCAGTTTATATTGATATTTGTCATATTTTCCCTACTTCCCTCTATGTGCGTTTTGATAACTTCTAGAGAAATTGGCCTTGTCTGTTTTACTACAGAGCTCCATTGGGGGCATTTGTGTGGTCAGCTCTTAATGATACTAATGGTAAATATGAACATCGTAAACTGCAAATGATTATGAAGCCTCAATTGAGGGTATATCTTCTTCTTAAACTTTTATTAAAGCTTTTCTCATAGATGCCAAACAATAAAGTTTAGTTTTATCTTCTCTCTGTCAGTCAGTAAAGGTTTATTAAGTTCCTACTGTGTGCCAAGTATTATGCTAAGCCCTGAGGATACAAACCCAAATACATACAGTCCCTTCCCTCAAAGAATGTACAATCATATATACATACACACACACATTTATTTGTTTGTTTATCTATCCACTTATTTATTGCCCAATAGGAACTCATAATCTAATGAGGAAAGACAGCACACAAAAGGAAGCTGAGAATGGGAAAGGGGGGAAGGGACCCCACATGGTGGAGAAGTTCAGAAACATCCAAACACAAGTGTGGCTTCTGGGAAATGACTGTGCTGAAATTTCTCCTTTTGGAGAGGCCTCAGACCCCTGGTCTTGCCTTCCTGTCAGGAACAGAGGGTACTGATGGGATATGAGTGCCAGGCAGATTCAGTCTTTCTTTATTTTGAATAATATTTTTTTTCCAATTACATGTAAAAACCATTTTTAACATTCTTTTTTTTTTTTTTAATTCTGAGTTCACATTCAATCTTCCTGTCTCCCTCCCTTCACCCCTCCCTGATTCGGCAAGCAATTTGATATAGATTATACATGTGCAATTATGCAAAACATTTCCATGTGAGTATCAGGCAGATTCAGTCCTGCAGGATAATGAGATTTCTCAATGATGAGTTTCCTGGGGAAGGAAGGCATGATGGGAAGGTCCAGAGAAGTCCAGAAGCAGCATAGCTGGTGGAAAATTTTGGAAATTTGGTCTGACTTTGATTTAGGTGTTGGGGAGAGGAGAAAGAGACACAAATGATTTGTAAAATCAGTCCCCAAAGAATCATGAGATTATTTCCATCATCTGGAATGTTTTCTCTGGATTTGGCCTCTGTCCTCTGGGAAGCCCTCCTGACTGCCCCCTCCACAAGGACCATTCTCTTCCTGCTTTAAATGCCTTGGGGTCCTTGACATCTGTACAAGGTGTCTGGCCTGCATAGGCTGCCTTGTGTTATTTTATCTTCTTTCCCCAACTACATAAAGAGTTCAGAGAGACCGTATGTTAGACACTCAATAAATGATTGAAAGAGTGATGAAGAAAATCATCAATTTTGTCTTTCAGGGTCATCAGCTGCCATGGCTGGAGTGAGTAGCTTGGGTCCATCCAACTCCGGTAGTCCCCGGATGTTTCCTCAGATTCAAATTGGGCCTGGACATGGTTCTGTTTCCTCCATTCCTTCAAACCCAAGCCAGCAGGAACGAAGTGTGGCTCAGTATACTGGTACACAGAGCCTTCAGAGAGGAAGCCTGTACAGTGTGGCACCTGGCATGACTCAGATGGTCCCCCAGCACACGCCTCAGGCCTCCAATGGGCATGCCCATATGCCACGGCAGCCCAGTGTTGGCCAAAGCAGCACAGTTTCTGCTAGCTATGGTCAGAATGCCCTGGGGAACGCGGGGCTTCCTCCACAGCACAGTAAAGGGGCCCTGAATCCCACTTTATCTAAGCCCTCGTTGCCCAGAGTGCCAGCTGCTGTGGGAGCCCAAAATCCATCATGGCAGCACCAAGGCGTGCCCAGCATGAACAGTCAGCCACAGGGGAGCAGCAGTGGGAGCCCTTTTCCTGCCACCTCCACTTTCCACATGCAGCAGCCCCACCTGAAGATGACCAGCCAGCAGTTCCCCCAGGGAGGGCCTCAGGTGAACCTCGGCACCAGCCGGCCAATGACATCCATCAGCTCTGCTGTGTCAGGGCAGATGATGTCATCCATGAGCACACAGCAGCGGACGAGTGCACCTGCCCAGCAGCAGGTAGCCTCTCAGCAAGTCCTGCCCGGGATGAGCTCGGCCGTCCCAGACCTGACTGCATTCAGCCAAAATCCAAACCAGCAGCTGGCAAATCGAGCCAGTCTGCATTGTGGTCAGGGCTACCAGGTGAGGACAGCAAATCAGGAGCTCCCTTTTACCTATAGCGCTCTGCCAGGCAACAGTGGCTTACAGAATATAACCGGTGACACAGATCTGATAGACTCCCTGCTGAAAAATAGGACTTCAGAAGAGTGGATCAATGACCTGGATGAGTTGTTAGGAACACATTAACATGGAGTTCAGGGCAGCCTGGTTTTCCTACGACCTACATTTTAGTTCTTAACATCAAGAACTATTGGACCAAAAACCTGTGGCATTGAGGAGCTTGGAAAATATATTGGAAATGGCCAGGAAATGGACCCCTGTTGCTTCCCACTGAGCTGGAACGCCCTGTTCTGATGGCACCTGCAGTCCGCATCTCATGGAGACACTGCATGTGAGGCAGGGTTGCACACTGAGACAGGTGGGGCGCATTGCAGTGGGCATATTCTGTTAGTGATATCATATGGTGGGTAGAGAAACAGAAGGCTTTTAAATGTACATTTATATTGAAAAGACCAAAAATGTAGAATCGGACTGGAGAAAAAAATCAGTGCCATTTTGTTGACTAAACCCAATTTCCCCTCCATTTTCCATATTTTTAGATGCTTTATTTGTTTTGTTTTGTTTTTAATGGTTTTGTGGCCAGATTTTATGCAATTTGTTTCATAAAGATGATAAAACACATTTTGTCAAATGCTCGGTTAAGTCAGCTGTGATATTAGCAAATCCGGAGACCTGTCATTCTACCATTAATGGCAAACCTTTATTTTTGTTTTTAAAAGGGAGTGGGATGAGGTTGCATGTAAGAGAAAACCAGCATTTTACCTTAATCCACCACCATCCCCAAATCCACCGCTTTTCTGGCTAAGAATGGTGTGTTTGAGTACCTGAGGGTAGGCAGTTTCTGCTCTTTGTGGAGACGAAAAGGAAGGATTAACATCAACCTGTTGGTCGGTGGCTGTTGGACTTCCTTCAAGGCTGCCAGCTTCAGTAGTTAGATGTTGTTGCCAATAACTAACCACTCTTGAAGGACGTTGAGCCCGACTCTCACTTGTTTAAAGAGAGACTTTCTTTTGAGAGAGAGAAAAGGTTTTTTGTTTTGTTTTTGTTATTGTTGCTGTTGTTTTTGAAGGCTTACCCCGCCCCAGTCCATTGCCACCACCCTCCTAAAAAGGAGCTCCCGAAGCTCTGGGGTGGATGCTGTGGTTAGGTCCAAATCTTGTGACCGACTCTGGGACCCAGCCCGGAAGGGAGGGAGGCAGGAAACTCTTCACCTAGTGTAGTGAAAGCAAAGCAAAGCCCGAATAACGGCTGTCTGTGCTATGGAAGTTGATTTTTGGTTTGTTTTTTTACTCTTCTCTTGTCTTCAAAAGTCTCCCTTTAAACACTTCTTGGCTGGAGTGACTGAGGACCTACCTGTCCCCAAGAAAATCTAAATTCCTTTGCAACAAATGCTGCCTACATAAGTTGCATGAGCATAGCAGAAATCACTAAAGTGATCTGTGAGGGTTTGGTTCATTCGGGGTAAAAGAAACAGTGATGGTATTGGGTGTTTGGGATTTCTGAGTTCTCATGTGTTAGCAAAACCTCCCTCCTTTAATCCCTTTGAAAATGTTTTTAATTGAACATATAATCATTTTAGATTTCCCAAGACCTTTCAACTTTCACCCCCTAAAAGTAAAAAATCTTTTGGAGAAGTATTCAGATTGGAATAAAAACTCCTGGAAATGCCCTGGCCCAACTACCCACCTTGGAATAGAGGAGGGATGCCTCCCAGAGATGTGGGACTAGAGAAGAATACAAAGAGAGGCTGGTTTGGGAGCTGTTGGGAGAGGTGGGGGAAGGAATGGCACAGACGTGATAATACAATTGTATTTTATTGCTGTATCTACAGTTCCTTTTATCAGACAACTTGCACTTTAAAAAAAAACCTGCTTTTTAACACTAATATTTTCTTTAACCCTTTCTATATATGCATATGAATTTTTCTTTTGAGTCCCACAAACATGCATCAGGTAGATTTCTGTGACTTTAGGTCCTGTTTGACAGATTTTTGGTTGTTGCCTGATGGCACTATACTTGTAAAATGAAGGTGAACGCCCACCTCCCACCACATCCAGCTGTTAGCAGCAGACTTTACCAATCGCTCCGTGTGCCCATATTCGTTGGCTTAGAAAACAACAGTGGAGTGTTGGTTATAAAATAAGGAGCCAGGGAAGGTGGCATTTATAAAGGTCATCCTAAGTTTAAGCCTAATCTTTGTTTCTCTGGGCTCTCAGCATTTTTTATTTTTAACTCTAATAGATGTGGTTGATGGTCACATTCAGAGGAAAACTTTCATATAAAAACATCTCCATCACTTTCCAGGACAGGGTTTAGAAGAAAAGATTGTAGCATGTAAATGTGGTGGAAATGGTTTCACACCAGCAGTGCCTTTGTCATTAGGGATGCTTGGGACCTCAGAAATTCAGCAATAGCCATGACCCTTCATAGGGTAATATTCACCTTTTCCCTTTGAAATGCCCTAAGTGGGGAAGGAGTTGGAAGGCACAGGTCCTTCCTGCTTTTCAGTTCCCCTTGAATTCTTCAGAAAGTATATTTGGCGCTCAAAATGCCAAATCAGCCAGAGCAGCCAGGCAGCTGCCCCCCAGTTTGTTATTTCCATAAACTGAAAGGCTAGATTAGCTGCTTTGGCCCCCTTACTACCAAAAATAGAGCAGTCCATGTCTGTGACTGTCACTCGCATTGAGCGGTGCTGAACAGCTTGTGCCCTCTCTCCTTCCACCAAAGGGCCCCTGTCTGGGGGCGCGGTGCTGCTGTTCAGCCAGCTCTTTGCCCTCGGTTCTTAGACATGTAGCTGTTTAAATATGCAGTCGGGCTTCCCGTTTGCTGCAGCTTTATAGCAATAAGATGCAACTCCTGGGACCCCCAGGGAACTGCCCATGGCTTTATTTATGAACTCTCGTCAGGAGCAGGTAGGAAGAGGTGACATCCTTACCTGCCAGAAACCAAGACTCAAATAAAACGGTGCTTAGACTTTTGTTATACACATTTCCTTTGTGTAAATAAATGTTTACAGTTTTATATTGAAGATGGAATAAGAGTTAGATCTTTTGACTGTATATTTTTTACTTTTTATAGATTTTAAAACTGTATAATTCTTTATATATGTGGGGGGAGGGAGGTGGGGAGTACGGTAAGTTTTATGCCTGTAAATGGAGAACAGTCGAAATCAATGCTAACCTTTTATGCCCTGTTTTTGTATAAAGATCCTGTTAATCCCCCGATTCTTCCACTTCACTTAACTCTGGCACACACCAAAAAGAGAACCTTCACTTTCCTGTTTTATCATTATATGAAATAATAAAAGTATTTTACTAGTATGAAAACTGGCTGTGCGATTTGCTTGAACATGCACCCTCACTCCTGGAGTGGCATTGGCAGTGTCTGGCCTACTGTGGCTATGTCTACACTGAGTTGGGTTTTTCCATTATGTTTCATTGTATGACCTCTAATGTAAAGCTTCCAGTCAAAATGAGGGTGCCTAAAAGTGAATCTAGAAAGCATTTTGTATTTGCAGAAGGCTTGCTGATCATTTCACATGCTCCCCTCATGCTAAGTTCATGATGGAGGTTAATCTTACAGAAAAGAATGCAAGCTATATTTGTCTCAACTGCAGTATCTGAGTTAGAAGAGAAGACTCATGGCGGGTTGGGAGAGACAAGATAACAGGCTTCAAGCATGTGAAGGGCGGTTTGGTCCCAGAGAGTAAAAACTAGGTCCTGCCTTGGGGGAAGTCAGAGAGGCCCAGGCTTGATGCCATTGCAAAGTGAGATGCACTGCCTCAGGACATTGCAGTCTCCTCCTGATGATCTTCCAGCAGAGGCTGAAAAACCATGGAGCTCCTTGACTGTAGTGCCTTCCTTCCAACCCTGGAATTCTAGGAGACCTTAGAAGGCAGCTGGTCCAGTCCCCAGCTGGTACATGAATCTCTCTAGCAAATTCTGCTTTGGGTATCTATTTCCTATAGGGCATAGGAGCCCTTTTCATTTTTCTCTACACGGACAAATCTCTCCCTATACAGATGCTGCCAATTGCATCTTACTTAGTTCTCTAGGGCCAAGCAGAACAAGTTTAATTCTTCTATGTCAGCCTTGCAAAAATGTGAGGACTATGTGGTGTCTATGCCTTCTCCAAGTTCTTTCAGTTTCGTCTTCATGGAAAGGGCCCGGTGAGGCAGTCCTCCACCTCCACCACCACCCTCCAGCATAATGTCCTTCCTGAAATGCACTCAGCACTGCCCACGGCCCTCCAGCTGCCCCTGTGCCCTGGACATTGTGCTTCCTTTAATACACCTTCAGATCTGGGCAGTCACATCACACTCTTGACCATGTTAAGCTTGCAGTTCAATATGGCCTCCCAGATATATCTTATGTGAACTGATAGAAAGTTAGATCTACTCCACCCCCCCACACACACACACCCCCATCATATATTTTTACAATTGATTTTTTTTTTTTGCATCCTACTGTAGGAATTTAGGCAATGTGGTAAAATGAAAGAATGCAGGTCTTGAGTCAGACCAGACCTGGACTTGAATGCTGCCTCCATTGCTTACTAGCCATGTCTTTTCAGTCATGTCTGACTCTTTGTGATCCCATTTGGGGTTTTCATGGCAAAGTTGGCAAAATAGTTTGCCATTTCCTTCTCCAACTCATTTTACAGATGAGGAAACTGAGGCAAACAGGGCTAAGTGACTTGTCCAGGGTCACATAGCTAGCAAGTATCTGAGGCCAGATTTGAACTTAGGAAAATGAGTCTTCTTGACTTCAGGCTCAGCATTGTATCCCCTGTGCTGATTAGCTGCCCTATGATCACTTAATCCCTCTGAGCCTGTTTCTTCATCTGCAAAATAGGATAATATCTGTAGTAACCAAACCAAAAGAGTTGCTGGGATAATCAAATGAGATAAGATATTAAAGCTTGTTTTATCTATCTATCTATCTAAAGTTTATTTATCTAAAGTTTGTTTTAAAACAGAAACAAAAAACCCAAACCATGATCTCCACTATGGGAATGTCAGCTCTTATCCTCACTCCTCAGTCCATCAGTCCAGCTTGTTGGAATCTTTTTGGATCATGGTTGGGATAGCCAAGGTACTAACTGTCCCAGCTTCTTGTTATCTGCAAATGGTTATGATAAAATGTGGAAAGGGGCAAGATTGAGAAGAGATTCCCTGAGACTGACTGAGAGCTCCCAGCCTGTTGACAATTATCCATTCATCATCACTCTTTCCATTGAGTGTTTCAAGCAGCTCTGGATCTACTCAATTGTACTGTTATCTAGCCTACATCTCTTCCATCATATCCACAAAGATATCATAAGGGACTGCTGAGGTCAGCAGCTTTTGTAGAGTTCAGAATTTTGTGGGGTTTTTTTTATTTTTTGCAAGGCAATCAGGGTTAAGTGACTTGCCCAGGGTCATACAGCTAGTGTCAAGTGTCTGAGGTCGGATTTGAACTCAGGTCCTCCTGACTCCAGGGCCAGTGCTTTATCCACTGCACCACCTAGCTGCCCCAATTTTGTGTTATTTTCAAAACCTTACCACTGTCCCTTTTTTTGAAAATTGGAATAAATATTTCCACCTTCAGTCTTTCGTCATCGCTTCAGTCCACAATCCCTCAGAGATCATGGTAACTGTTGACTCACTTCTAAGTTTTTTCTGGACCCTGGGATGAAATTATTCTGGCTCTAGAGATACAAATTCATTTACAAGATTTTTTACTGCCTCCTCCGCTACCTTTGTTATGAACTCCCTATGCTTATTCTAGCCTTTCCAATTTGAAGACCATTTTTTTTTTGACACCAAGCCAACAAGCACTAATGGCCTGCTATGTGCCAGACACTCTGCTAATCACTGGCAGTACAAAGGCCAAAACAGTCCTGTCTCCAGAATTCACAATCTGACAGAAGAGACAACATGAAAGCAACTACATACAAATAAGACATATGCAGCATAAATCAGGTATCATCATGAAGGGAAGACACCGGCATTAAGGGGGACCAGGAAGGGCTTCTTGCAGAAGGTGGGATTTTAGTTGAGACTAGGAGGAGGCCGAGAGAGAGAATTCTGAGCTTGGCAGGGATAGCGAGTGAAAATTCATGGAACTCAGAAGGCCAAGTGTCATGGCCAAAGAACACCATGGAAGCCAGTGTCCCTGGATCTGAGTCCATGGGGATAAGTAAGTTTAAAAAGACTAGAAGGGAGGGAGGGGGCCAGGTTATGAAGGGCTTTGAAATCCAACCAAATTATTTTTAAATTGATCCTGAGATGATAGGGAATCAGTAGATGAGTGGCGGGGCAAAGGGGTGATGTGCCATGATCTGGCTTAGGAACTTTAGGAAGATCACATTGATAACCGATTGGAGGATGAATGGCATGAGACAATGAGGGCCTGGACCAGGGTGATGGCAGTGTCGGGAGAGGAGGAGGCATATTTGAGAAATGTTATTATAAAGGCAGAATCAACAGGACTTGGCAACAGATTGGATATGGGGGGAGGGGGAACAATAGAAGTTGGATGATAGCTGGGATGCAAGTCCTGGTAACTTGGAGTAAGGTGGTTCCCCAACAGTAATAGTTAAGTAAGAAAGAGGCAGAGTTCAGAGGGGAAAGAGAATGAGTTTAGATTTAGACATGTTGAGGTCAAAATGTCTATGGGATGACCAGTTTGCTTTGTACCCTCGATATTATTTTATTTTTCCCCAATCACATGTAAAGATAGTTTTCAACATTAATTTTCCCCCTCCCTCCCCAAGACAGCAAGCAATCTGATATGTTATACATGTACAATCATATTAAACATATTCCACATTAATCATGTTGTGAAAGAAGAATCAGAACAAAAGGGAAAAACCACGAGAAAGGGAAAAAAAGAAAATAGTATGCTTTGATCTGCATTCAGACTCCATAGTTCTTTCTCTGGATGTGGATAGTGTTTTTCATCATGAGTCTTTCGGAATTGTCCGGACCATTGTATTGCTGAGAACACCTTATCTATCAGAGTTTATCATTGTGCGATATTGCTGTTGCTGTGTACAATGTTCTCCTGGTTCTGCTCACTTCACTTTGCATCAGTTCATGTAAGTCTTCCAGATTTTTCTGAAGTCTGCCTGCTCATCATTTCTTCTTTTTTTCTTTCTAAAATGTTTTATTGATACCATTTGTTTTTACATCAGATATTTTCAGATATCACCCTAGCACCACCACCCCAATCAACATTGAAAATTCCCTTGTAACAAGGAAAACCAGTTCATTCAAACCAGTTGATGTAGTGATTATGTCTGGCAATGTGTATACAATATTCTACACCCATAATCCCTCACTTCCCTGCAAAGAGGAAGGAGGTTTGTTTCATTCTCTGTCCTTAGAGTCACTTTCTTGGAGGAAGTACTTTAAAGCTATCAAGTTGAATAGTTAAAAAAAAAAAACCAGACAGTAAATATGATAGGATCTAGTGTTCTCAACAGCTTTCAGTCAATTGTGTGACTGTGAAAGATGGATCTGATAAATTGCATCTAGGAAATTGTGTAGTCCTTTTATCAATACTAGGCTGGCCCATGATATTAAAAACTCTTCCTTTTTTTTTTAACACCAATAGTCTTCTAGTGTTTGAGTATCATGAAACATCACAATTTCTGGGGAGAAAAATTGAAGGTTACCCGAAGGGCAAAGAAGAGACACAATAGTATGAGTAGGTCATATAGAATCACTAATGATCACTTGTACACAAGAAGTGACATAAAAGTTATCATAAAGGAAATGAATTAACAACAGAACGAGGTAGGCTATTCATGTAGTGAGATAATAGATGGACAGCCCATGAACTAAAGATCGAGAGGACAACTTATTAGGGGCAATTTTTGTGAGTTTAATTTTTTAAACATGCTGCTTATCATTTCTTATAGCACAATAGTATTCCATTACATTCATATACCACCACTTGTTCAGCCATTCCCCCACTGATGGGGATGTCCAGTTTGAGATGTCCAATAGGCAACTGGAGATGAAAGACTAGAGATCAGGAAAGAAGTTAGAGCTGAATAAATAGATCTGAGAATTATCTGCTTAGAGATGATTACTGAATCTATGGGAGCTAATGATCATCAGATAGTATAGAGGGGGAAGAGAAGAGATCCCAGGACAGAGTCACTTTTAGTGTATATGACCTGAATGAAGATCTAAGAAAGGTGACAGAGAAGGAGCAGATGTAGGTAGGAGGAGGACCAGAAGAGAGCAGTGGTCATGAAAACCTGAAAAGAAGAGGGTATCAAGGAGACTGGGTGATCAACAGTGTCAAAAGCTGCAGGGAGGTCACGAAGGATGAGG